GATTTTTGTTTCTTCTGCTAAGTGGTCATGTTTGAATTCTTTGCTACTAATTTTTTAGACTTCTTTACCAAGATTTCTGTTAGGATAGCAGAATGTGAATATATTTTCTCAGGTGACTATAGTTGAACCCAAATTGAAATCCGTAAACTCATTTCCTTTGAAGTGTTTTGCTGTATTTTTTTTAAAAAAACAGATGCTTTTCAGATCTTAATAGTATAATTGTTTTTTTGTATTTTCTATTAACATCTCCAGCTGAGACTTGCTAGATGTTTACCAATCCCATTACCACCTCTTCCTGGGCACACAGAAAGACTTTTTCCTAGTCTCTCTTGGAATTAGTAACACAGGGCCATGTGATTAGGTTTTAAGCAATGTGATGTGGGTGGCAGTGATGTTCTGTCTTTAGTTGTGGCCACAAAACTCCATGCGAGGTTGCCCATGCTCTCTCTCTCTCTTTTCCATAGTGACCTTGGAGGTTATATGTTTAGTATGGTAGTGACACAAGATACAAAAAAGCAGGGATCCCTATATCCCCACGTGGAGGAGAGGGGCTCCACAGCACACTGTGAGATGGACAAGAAATAAACTTTTATTATGGAAAGCTGCTAAGACTTTTGGGGTAGTTTGTTATAGCAGCTATATTACTTGTCCTATTTAATATACCATTTAGAATACTTTTTCCCCTCCCAGCTGTACTCATCAAGATGCAATTTTATTGAGTTAGTCAGGTTTGAAAGTGGGGCTGAATTGAATGATAATAACATCAATGGGAATCCAAAATTTCTAGACCTCAGGCTCACAGAAATATGTGGATACCAAAAATAATTATTTTTTTTTCTGAAACTCAATGAGCTCTCTCAGGGTAATCATTGAGAGAAGGTAACTTGAATACCATGCAAAAATGCAGTATTTTCAGGCTAGTTTAGGATCAAATTTTAGTGGGTAAATCCTTTTGTCATGAGGAAAAATTGTTAGCATCATTTGGCAGATTTAAAGTCTTCTGACCCGTTGTCATGCCGTTAGGAAAAATGATGAGTAATGATGCAATTTATTTTACAGGAATGTGATTATTTTCATGAGTTATGTTTGAAGTCTCAAAAGATTCAGTCATCCCCATATTCACTGTCTTTATCAAATGCAAATCCTAGGACTTGTAACACTTCCTGTCTTGCACCAGGTCTCAACACTTATTCCCAATTTTCTATGACTACAACCAGGAAAAACTCCTTGGAGGTTCTCTTTCATCTTCTTCAGGACTTGTGCATCCCAGAGAATGCCCTCAGCCATTTATTCCACCAACACTCTGATCAGCATTTCTCAAACATTTGTTATCCCCAAACTACTTACTGGTTACTCAGTGTATTCTTTTGATAAACTTTTGACTCAATAATTTAAGCATTGGGTTCTACATGCAGTATGTTTCTTTTCTGCCTCTTTATTGCTACTAAATTATAGGACTAAAATTATAATTATAGGTGATTGGGAATGTCAGCAAGTATTTGATGACTTCATCAGATAGTTCTGGATATTCAGGTCAAACATGGACCCAGAATTAATGGAGATTTAATGAGTAAGTCTCTTGAAAATTCTTAAGTCCGAAATTGAATTAAAGGCTGGCAGTTTGATTGGGTCTACTTGGACTAGTAACAAATAAATTCCTGATCTACTTTGATTGCAGTTGTGTTCCGTCAAGCAATTCTTTATTTTATTGCAGCCCCTTGATGTGGCTTTTAAACATACCCAAGATTTCATTGCTTTGCTTTCTCTAATTAAAAAGAAATCATTAAATATTGGGAATGAGTCAAATTCCCAGTGGCTGAGGCATTTGTACCACATCTTGTTTTGTTTTGTTTTAGTCCTGACATCTCATTCTCACGATTGAAAATTGGCTGTAGTTCATCCCTGCAGTGATAAATTCAGGCTTGTCAAAAAAACTGAGGGTGTTGCTGAGATATGCCAGACATTTGAAATGATAGAAATGGTCTTTATCAGCATTATCAGTGTCAGGAAGAAATTTCCTTACCCCTATCTCACAGTTCCTAAGAGCACATTTATTTCTACCAACCAGGGTTCTTCAGTGGGGGAACAGTGTATCATATTCACTGTCCATTTCTTGGCAGAATGTGCTGAAAAGGTGTACACGCAATAGCTGCAAGTTAATCATAGTTAAAATTGTCCCTATTTCCTTCAACATACAATTGCAATTAGGAGACTCTATGGTAGACTGCTAATTAATCTCTGAAAACCAAGACAGTGTGTGGATTTGCATGCAGGGGCTACTCTTCTAATCTTGTAAGAATCTGGGTCTCTGTCAGAAATGAGCACAAGACACCTCCAGTCTATAGAATGGCTCCAAAATAACATACAAATATTTCTTCTCCTGTGGTCTGCGTTTTCTGTATTACAGCAACCAAAGGTCATCAAGCACTTCCTTCACATACATAGTATACAGGTAGCTGAAAAGTGGAACTGCTGTCTGCATACCCGTTTGACGAGCATCTTCCATGTTGATGTACACCATTGCTATTAGCAGTCTCAGCACTGCCTTTTAATGTGGATATTGACCAGCCATCAACATTCGGTGGCTAGTCTACAAGAATATAGTGAAGAAGATGACCTGAGTCTGCATTTACGTGAGGAATGTAATCTTATTTTCTTCCAGTGGAAAATTTCCTTGTGGAAAAGCCTGTCTTTTTCCAATGAAAAAAATCATCTATTTATTTTATACTGCAAAGTATAACTGTGGTCATAGAACACACTGTGCTTTCTGAGTGAATAACACCTGAAAGACAATATATGGAGCAAATGGATTTTCAGTTAATTTCAATTTGCAGATATCCATTGCTATACTTACTTTCACTTTTCATTTCTAGCTATTTCTAAAACATGATCATCTCAAACAGTCACCTTTCCCAACACTTACAGATTCCCACTCTTGTTTTTTTCTGGTATGTATGATCTTTCCTGGGGTCCAGTGATGGCATGTACTGGGAAACACTTTGACAACAGGTAGTTTCTCAGAGCAGCCAGAGAACACCCTCCTTCATGAGCGAAACTGCTGCATGTGTGACTGTTGCACATGCAGAAACTCTCAAGCATCAAAAGTTCAGGAAAATACTCATTGGGGCTGTTGGCACACTTTAGGCAGATACTTCTAGTTTTTAGACAAACATGGACCACTTGCCTTCTAGTGCATTCTAGGTCATGTGTGATTTTTTTAAAATGATGGTAGGAAGTATAACTTCTGGTTTTGTTTGTTGTTGTTTTTTTACAAAACAGTCTGCTCATATAACAACATGAAGGCATAAAGGCTTGAGGAAGAGTTTTCAGGCTTTTCGTTATTAGACTTGCACACATCAGAAGCTCCTGAGTATGTTATAAGGCTTTGTTGATTCATAGCATTTTCTATAAGACACTCAGACTTGGAGGTGTTTTTACAATATTGTAGCCTGCTGAGCTAGCATACCAAGCAGAAAATGGGTTGGCTGCAGTCATTAAACAAATAGGCACAGGGGTGAAGGGGACAGATACTGATAGTAGTCAGTATCTAGTCAGTATCTATTTGCCCCATACTTCAAAATTTTTATACCAGAGCTCTAAGATAGACTTTTCCTTATAGGTTTGTCACTTCATTCATTCGTTCAACTGTTTTTTTAGCATCTACACCAAGCATGTCATGTCAAACTCCCAGCTACGAGTGGACAATGCATCTCTTAAGAGAAGACTTAAGTGTCAAAATTAGATTTTCTAGTGCCTATTCTGTGCTTCTGTGAAGTACTATTAGATGCATGAGCTAAAAGATACAAGACGTTATAGGTACATCATCTGAAGGTGCTTGCTTCTGCATTGTCCAGTCTTTTGGTTTACTTCTTGTTCTGCTCTAGACCTGCTCAACCTTGATCTATACCATTCCTCTCTGCTCAGTGCATTGGATAGTCAGTATCTAGTCCTTGTCCTTCAGCCCACAAAAAGATCCAGGAAGGAGGATATAGCAAAATCACTCCCTAGTTCCTAAGCAAGATTAATGTATTAGCTTTAGTTTGAGAAGCACTCTATCACCTGGTACCTTGTGGTCCTGTGCTTCATGGTACAAAAAACTGGGATGACCAAAGGACCCGATTCCCTTGTATATTTTAAGCCTTCAAATCTACCTTTATGGGAAACTTTGAACCAAATCCGTCCTTCAAATACTGATGCACCTTTCCCAAGAAACTTTTACCCTCAGGTCTGCAGACAACCTTGAAATGTGAACACCATCAATTCTAGGCAAAATTTTGAGAGCTTGTGTATATCTGTTAAAAAAAAAAAAAAAAAAAAAAACACACACACAAAAAAACAAAAAAACAACCACCACTCTATATATACCTTTTGCATAAAACCACCACTAAATTTAATTTTACAAAGTGGCTAATTTTTTCTTTCAGCAAGTATTCCATGGGGCTTTTCATTGCACTTATATATCTGTATACCTAAGTCTTATCCCAACCCCATGGTTTTTTTCTTTGTTTTCCTTCTGTTGTTTGCCAAGAGCATGTACTACTACTACTTGACCTTAAGAAAGTGGTACATTAAATCATGAATGCAGCATTTGCAGACTGCTCATTCTGCATTTACTCTGTAGGAAGTCCAGGTCATGGTTTTGAGTGCCATATGTCCTTTCATTTTTCCTTTTTCCCCCCCTTTATTGGTTAAGATATTACAAATGTGTCCTTATCACCCCAATGTCCTCTTATCCCCCCAATCCTGCCCTCACCCTCACCCCCTGTTGTCCACATCCATCACTTATGCTTATATGCATGCATACAAGTCCTTTGGTTGATCAAGATCTGCTCTTAGAGGTACATAATTCAGTTCCAAGGTTGAAGGTCATATGACAAAGTATTAACCACAAAAAGTTATTAAAATGTTACGAGAATATTACACATACTAATGCCTTTTTCAGCTATGACATTTGTCAATGTCTCTTAACCTTATATAGGACAAATTTATTTTAAAAGGCATTTGCAAGCAAAATAATATATTTTATTGAAAATTGAGAAGTTACAGTTCAAGGCATTTTTTCAAATTATAAAAAAAAATAAGTTAAAAGAAACAGAATTGACTCAAGTGCAATGACATCTAGTTTTCACTCAAACTAACACAATCATTTTGCAAAATAAAAATCCACAGCTTAATTTCTTTATGGCATAAACGTGTTTTCCTATATATTATCAAGAAAATGCTAATGGAATAATTTTCTGAGTGATACTTCAACACATCATCTTTCTGGACCCAGTTTAAATGGTACGTTAGTATTAGTATCTAGTTCAAATAGATCACTGATGTGTGTGCATAAGAACTAGCTAATTTTTAAGAATATTTACCATTTATCATACAGCAATATATAGCATTCCTAGACATTTCTTAAGCATGTTTTCTTATCTCCTTGGTAAGAACCAATCACTTGCAGAAAGTCGTTTAGCCAGATGAGCACTAGTGGCATAAACAAGATTAACCATAATATTGCTAAAGTATTAATTATTACAGTCAGCCATTTAATGTTAGGAAATGTATGGTTATACTTTTAAAATCAAAATTTCTCAAATTTTTGTATGAAGGGGAAACTAGCTGAGCCAGGAAACTAAAAATAGGCTCAGTTTTTTAAAATCTCATTTTATATTATCAATGGTCAATATTTTTATCAAATTATTTTTTCCTCAACAGAAAATATTCATTGAGCCACTGGTGTTAATTTTACTTATTTCCATGATCTATATTCTTTATCTTCTTCCTTTTAGAGAAAGGAGAACTGAGGCCAAGACCCAATGGGTATAGATATCAGTAAACAAACGTACTATTCTGATGCTATGCTGACTGATGTCTACAGTGAAGAGGTGCCACAGGTAAGCTACAGAAAACCTGTGCTTTGCCACAGAAGACATGGCACTAATGTAGAACTTCAATTAATATTTCAAGTAATATTTTAGAGTATTTTGTAGTTAGAGAGCTTTTCTGTAACTATTATGAAATTAGACCTTGTTAAGAAACTTACAACATGCATATTGCATAAGATGCTTATAAAATGTTAACTGCATCCTAGGTGAGAGGCAGAAATGGTTTTAATAAAGGAGAATCCACTGAGGACAGAATTAAAACATGTGGCACTTGCTAATACAATACCTCTTTCATTTGGTAACGCCATACAAATTGGTCTTTAACCAAGAAAAAAACCCTAGTTCTTATTTAATTGTGGAGAAGTCTGGCCATGTCAAGAAAAGAAGATTCTCTGATAAAAAATGTCTGAGAACCAGTGTTTTGACAAGTCAGTTTTAAAACTGGTGAAGCCCTTTTGAATGTAAGGGACTAGTGATAACTTAAAACAGAGGGTATCAAAGCTTTCCTTTCCCTCACCCCAGTTAGGAAAGGCTCTCAGGCACCTGATCAGCTTTCAGAGAAGAGGGGACTTTATGGTGGTGGCAGATGAAATGCTGAAGTAATTTTAGCCATAATGTAATGGAGCAAAGATACCAAACACAGATTTGGCAGGTGCAATCACTCATTTTTCCAGGCCCTAATATAAAAGCAAAAGCTTGTCTAAAAAATATATCTTATCCAAAAATCTTTAGAAAATGTTATGACTCATTAAAACTAAATTTTGAGAGGAAAAATATTGCCCACTGATTTTTTACAAATAAAATACATCATCAAAGAATCCTTAAATAAGAGTACATTTATAATTTACATCTAAATAGTGTTTCCTCTTAAGAATTAAAACTACTTTCTCCCTTTTTAGCCCCTCTTCTGCACTTCAACTTTTCTTTGTACTAAAAGTATTGCTAATTAAGTACTGGATGTCAGTTAAGCACTCACTTCATGAGAAAGCCTAATTAATACTGTGCTCAACATTTATTCATTTAAATTTTATCTATTACTATGATAAACTAATCAAAATTTCATTGAATTAGATGAATTCATAAGGGAAATAAACAGGTGAATGTATAAAATAAAATTTCATACAAGGACTAGAAATATTAAAAACAGCTGACAAAAACTTAATAGTGCTTTCTATTAATGATTTTGAAGTCAGTTTATACCACCGAACTTTTTTTAAAACTCCTGATTTATTCTTAGATTCAAAATTATATAACACTAGTTTTAATGATTACTTTTCCTATAACTTCTTTCATATCTTCTCAACATGACTAAATGTTCAACATACATTGTTTGACATAAAAGTATCACAAACAATTATTGGTATTACTCAATGCAAATGTTTAAAAAAGAGTTTGATTCATATGAATTTGTACCAAAATAAAGCTTCTGATATTTCTTTAGGATTTTACTCGATGATTCATTCATGATATAAGCAAAATATACTTGAACTAAGTTAACATTTACATATAAAAATATAGAATATATATACGACAGTGATCTTGATGTCTTGTACTATTACAAATTAGAGTACCACCAGCCTTATTAAAAAGTTCAACATGTTTTAAATTATAAATTTTTTAAAAATCAGGATTCTTAGTTTTACACTTAATTTTAATCCTCCATCAACTGAGTTTCTTTGTTTTGGCTAATAACTGGGCTTGAAGAACATGGAATAGAGAGAAGTATTTCTCTGGAAGAAACAGAGTATCTCAATGTTTAGTAGACAGTTTATTATTATCTTTATTTTTCCTAAGCATGAATATCTTTTTGTTTATTCTGCCCATTCTGATCAATAAAAGGAAAGCCACAGGGCAGGAAACAATGAAAAAATATCCTGTATTTTGTCAGATATCTATTTTCTGCCATTAAGAAGAATGGATAGTGCCTAAAACAACCTCGAAAGGAAGAAATAAAAAGAGCTCACACCACAGAGAGAAATAAGAGCTTGGCACCTTCTACCAGCCAGCAGTTAAACTAGCAAGTGGTTTCTATTTTGTTTTTGTTTTTTAAATTGCTTCTTTTCTTTGTTGAGGTTTATATGGCTGAAGTGCAGGCTTTTTAGAGTTGGTTTTCTGCTCAGGTCACATGTGCTATTCAAAGATCACTGGCTTTCAGAGTATTAAAAATAATTAAATGGACTCAACACTAAAGTTAAACTGAACTGAACTTAATTTATTCTTTTTCATAGATGTGATGTGAGAAATAAAAAATCCTGGACTAGGAATTGAAAGTTCAGTTCTCTTGATCTCAAGGCTGAGTGATCTTGACCAAGTTACTTAACCATTCTGGGCATTAATTTCCTCAGGTAAAAAATAAGGGAATTGTATTGGGTAACCTTTAAAGTCTCTTTCAAATTTAATTGAAACACCAAGGCAGAATCTTGTAGAGTGCCTCGTAGTTTTCATTATGGAGATCAACTACCATGACAGAATATTGTAAAAATAATTCTGGTTTTATGGATTTCTGATGCTAACATTATGGTTAGTGAGAGTTTTCTATACTTCCAAGGGCTAATCATAAGTATTTGGCTCTCTAATAAAAAAAAATAATAATCGAGATATTTTTACACTATACACAAAATATGCTTTGACATTCACTGGGATGGTCTGGAGTTTTACTTACATCCTTTAATTCTCTTATTGTTGAATCCTGTTCTCTCTTCAGCTGGGTGGCAAATAGTAGCATGAGGATAAAAGGATCTTGGTTAAAGTATTTCTGGCTGAATGAAGAATAACAGAAGTCTTTTAATTAATGTTTTAATTTTAATTTTATTGCTAATATTTAAAACCAAGAATCTATAATAGTTTACCACTGTTGGTAAAGAATTGAAATTTACTGCCAAAATATCAATATTATGCCAAAAGAAAACAGTTTGGTTCTAATTTTAAGGAAATGGCAATGTATTCTAGTTCTTAATCATTTTCAGAATTGAGACAAAAGTAGAAGACTCATAATTCCATGTCAACTATTTCAAACCAGATGTAAAGCATGTTGAATTAATTAGAGAGGGACTTTGTGGAGTACCAGATATAACTTTGGGAGAAGGGTAAATAATTTCTTCAACAGTTACATAGGTACCTAACAAGAAACCAACAACTCCAGTAAATGCTATAGAAATATTTTTCAGAATCATCCATATATTGTAGTGTTCCTTAGAAAATGTAAGAATTTCAACCAAAGGTGGGAGGATCAGGGCCAATGTGCTGCTGCTCACAGCTCCAACGAAGGAAATCACAATGTCTAAACGAGGAATCAGAACTGCTCCGGCACCTGTTAAATGGAAATGACTTTATTTAAATAGATATTTTCAATACATTACATTAAAGTTAATTAATGCAAGTAGGCACTACTAAATGCTTATGGAAGAATCTGTTGAGCTAAAAATGAAGACAAACAAAATGGTGAGTGACATTTCTTGAACTTTGACTTGTCAGAATTTATTATATAAAAAACTTAATATTTTGCTGTGAGATTTTGGGCAAAGAAGTTTGGATAGTTTATTTCCAAAGCTTTTTCATTATCTGCCATTCAGTTCATTGTAGATGAGGTGGTGTGAAATAAATAAATCATTAAATAAATTAGAAGAGAGCTAGCTATTCCTTACACTAGAATTTCAGTTAACCAAATAGAAGGAACAACAGAAATAGAAAATCAATATTAAGCAAACATCACTGATAACTGTTTATGAAAAGTCACTAAAAGATGTTAAAATTAGTGGGCGAAAACTGTAGAGAAGAGGATATTTGCATAATTTCAAAGTATCTCCCTACAAAATACTTAATTATAAAGGGAAAAGGAGTTTCTTTATAGTGGAGAAACCTCTCAAACACCCTCCACCAAGTGATCAAAGTTAACATCACTAATAAGATATAACTGTTACCATCGTGTGATGCATTGAGAAGTGCAAAGCATCACCTATGGAATTCTTGTTAAAAATGCTTAACTTCAACCTAATCATAAGAAAGCATCATACAAATCTAAACTGAAGGAAATTCTACAGAATTACTGACACTTCAAACGGAAGACAAAAACTAAGTAGACATGACAACTAAATCAAGTGGGATGTTGTACTGGTTCCTGGATCAGAAAAGAATATTAGAGACAAAACTGGCAAAATCAGAATAAGGTCTACTACAGATTAATTAGTGGTGTTGTATTAATTTCTTGGTTTTAATAATTATAGGAGGCAGTCCAAAATGGGGGTGAAAGAGGACATGGAGTTTGCCCTCTCCCATGAAGACACCAAATGCCTGGATGTGCACCTGTATTTAGAGAAATTCCTTCTGAGAGACAACAACAACGGAGAGAAAGACTACATAAAGAAGAGTAAGGAACTGTGGGAGCCCACCAGAAATCTGAGGGAACGCATCAGGAACAAAGGAACTGGTAAGCACCACTGTTTACATGCCCTCTGCACTTGGATAGCTCAATAGGAGCTTAACTAGGTGCTCTGGCTGACCTTCTAGGCTGCAGTAACACATCTCCAGCCAGCCCTCCTGGAGCTAACTCCAGCAGGAAATAAGAATGAGCCATAGTAGGCGTGCACAGCCCCTCCAACCCCCACCCCCACCCCCCACACACACACACATCTGGAGCTATAATCAACAGGCCCAACGGGGTGCAGAGGTTCCCCTTTACCAGGCCATGGCTGCAAGCACCCAAAGCAGAACCACGAGAACCCTAGCTCATGCATCCTGGGTAGCCGTGTCTAGAGAGAGGGACATTGGTGCTGTGGTGATGGTGTTTACAGGGTGTTCTATCTCTGACCAGGCTCTCACAACAGTCAATCAAAACAATAGGGTGAGCCTTGTATGCATAGCAGAAAGTACCCACTCACCCCCCCCCCCCCCAGTAAGAGGGAGAGTTCTGCTGCACCTCAATCCTACACAGGGTTCCCAACCCAGACCAGCAGCAGTCAAGCAAAACAACAGGGCTTGCCTCAGCCCCCCACACCAGGATGTTCTACCTAGATCAGAAGCAGAATCAGCAGGGTTCTGTAGCACAAACCTATAGGACTGCCCCACCTGGCACAGCAGGAAAGCTCATACACACCAGGTTATACCACCTGGAAGTTGCAACTTCAGGCCAGGCAGCATCCCAGAAACTACCACCACCCCCAACCCCAGAGTCTACACAGAGGCCACTTTTAAACAAGACCATTTTTTCAAGATTGGGAGAGATAGCGATCTCATCTCATAGGAACAAACACCAAAGGTCAAACAAAATGGGGAAACAGAAGAATATGCCCCAAATGAATAAACAAACAAAAAAACCTGGAGATAAACTGAAACAGATAAATAATTGGTCTGATAAAAAATTTAAACAGTCATAGGATGCTCAACAAACTTGAGAGTACAATAGAGGAACTCAGAGAACTTCAACAAAGAGCTAGAAAATAAAGAACCAAATAAAGATGAAGAATACAACAACTTAAAAGGAAAACACATTAGAAGGAATTAACAACAGGTTAGTTAACACAGAAGAACAGATTAGTGATCTGAAAAAGTAGTGGAAAGCACCCAATCAGCAAAACAAAAAAGAATTTTTAAAAATGAGAAGGATCTCTGGCACAATATCAAGCACTCAAACATTATAGGATTATAGGGATTCCTGAAAAAGGGGAGAGAGAAAGAGGCAGCAAGTATATTGAAGAAATAATGGCTGAAAAGTTTCCTAATCTGAGGAAGGAAAGGGACATCAAAGTCCTGGAAGCACAGAGAGTCTCAAACAAGATGAATCCACGCCAAGACATACTGTAATTAAAATGGCAAAAGTTGCCCTGACCGATTTGGCTCAGTGGATAGAGCATCGGCCTGCGGACTCAAGGGTCCCAGGTTCGATTCTGGTCAAGGGCATGTACCTTGGCTGTGGGCACATCCCCAGTAGGGGGCGTGCAGGAGGCAGCTGTTTAAAAAAAGAAAATAAATAAATAAATAAAATGGCAAAAGTTAAGGATAAAGAGACAATCTTTAAGGCAGCAGGAAGGAAATAAGAAGTTTCATACAAGGGAAACCCACATAAGGCACTCAGCTGATTTCTCAGCAGCAATGTCACAGACCAGAAGGGAGTGGCAGGAAATATTTAAAGGACTGATAAAAAGGAGCCTACAATCTAGACTACTATACTCTCTGCAAGGTTATTATTCAGAATCCAAGGAGAGATAAAGAGCTTCCCAGACAAGCAAAAATGAAAGAAGTTCACCATCACTAAAATGGCTTCATAAGAAATGGTAAGGGATCCTCTTCATGCAGAAAAGACAATAACCTGAAATAAGAAAATACAGGGAGGAGAAAACCACTGGTAAAGGCAAATATATAATAAATAATAAACAGTGAATCCATCACTTAAAAAGATAAAACTAGCAAAACAGCCCTGATCAGTTTGTCTCAGTGGATAGAGAGTCAGCCTGTGGACTGAAGGGTCCCAGGTTCGATTCCAGTCAAAGGCATGTACCTTGGTTGCGGGCACATCCCGGGTAGGGGGTGTGAGGAGGCAGCTCATAGATGTTTCTCTCTCATCGATGTTTCTAACTATCCCTCTCCCTTCCTCTCTGTAAAAAAATCAATAAAATATATTTTAAAAAAACTAGCAAAACAAACTACAACTACAATAAATACGGAATACACAAATTAAGAAGATATAAAACATGACATTAATAACAGAGTGTGTGTGTGGGGGGGGTAAAAATGTACTTTTAGAATGTGTTTGAACTAAAACACATGTGATCTTAAAGTAGACTGCTGTAGATATAGATGGATATATGGTAACCAAAAATAAAGAGAAAGAAACACAAACAAAACACTAAAGAAAACCGGCATGCCAAAAGGAAAGAAATCAACAGAAATAGAAAAAAATTAAAAACAACAAATTGGCAATAAGCACATACCTCTTGATAATACTTTAAATGTAAATGGACTAAATGCTCCCATCAAAAGACATAGCATGGCAGAATGTATAAAAAACAAGACCATCTATATGCTGCCTATAGGAGATTCACTTTAGATCAAAAGACACCCCAACTGAATATGAAGGTATGAAAAAAGTTATTCCCTGCAAATAGAAATCAAAGAGATTTGGGGTAGCAATACACATATCAGACAAAATAGACTTTAAAACAAAGTTTTTAAAAAGAAACAAAGAAGAATATTACATAATGTTAAAGGGGTCTATCCAAGAAGAGCATATAACAATTGTAAATATTTAGGCACACAACATAGTCACACCCAAGAATATAAAACACATATTAATGGACACGAAGCCAGAAATTAACAGTAATAAAATAATAGTTGGAGGCTTTAATACACCACTTACCTTAATAGTTGGGGGCTTTAATACCCCACTTACCTCAATAGATAGATCATCCAGACAGAAAATTAGTAGGAAATAATGGTCTTAAGTGTCACATTAGACTAGAGTGACTTAATAGACATTTTTAGAACATTTCACCCCAAATTGCAAAATACACATTTTTCTCTAGTACATATGAAACAGTTTCCAAGAGAGACCACATATGGGGCCACAAAACAAGCCTCAATAAATTCAAGATGACTGAAATCATATCAAGCACCTTTTCTGACCCAAATGGTATAAAACTAGAAATCAACTAAAGGAAGAAAACTGGATAAAACATAAATACATGAAATTTAAATAACATGCTAATAAATAACCAATGGGTCAAAGAGAAAAATGAAACAGGAAATTAAAAACTACCTTGAGCCCTAGCCAGTTTGGCTCAGTGGATAGAGCGTTAGCCCGCAGACTGAAGGGTCCCAGGTTCACGTCTAGTCAAGGGGCACATACCTCAGTTGCAGGCTGAATCCCCAGCCCTGGTCAGGATGCTTGCGGGAGGCAGGCAACCAATTGGTATGTCTCACACAGATGTTTCTCTCTCTCTGTCTCTACCCCCCTCCCCTACTCTTTCTGAAAATTATGGGAAAATATCCCCAGGTGAGAATTAACAACAACAAAAACAAAAACTACCTTGAGACAAATGAAAACACAACCTTCCAAAATGTATGGGAAGCAGCAAAAGCAGTTCTAAGAGGGAAATTCATAGCTAAACAGCCTTCCTCAAGAAACAGGAAAATTCCCAAATAAGCAATTTACCTTTATATCTAAAGGAGCTAGAAAGAGAAGAATAAAGAAAATCCAAAGTAAGTAGAAGGAAGAAAACATAGATTAGAGTGGAAATAAATGAAATACAGACCAAAAAATTAGAAAAGAACAATGAAATTCAGAGCTGGTTCTTTGAAAGGATAAGTAAAATTAACAAATCTTTAGCCAAACTTGTCAAGAAAAAAAGAGAGCCCAAATAAAATCTGAAATGAAAGAGGAGAGACTGCAGCAGACAACACAGAAATACAAAGGATCATTAAAGAATACTATGAACAATTACATGCCAACAAACTGTACAACCTAGAATGGATAAATTTCCAAAAACATACAAACTTCCAAGTCTAAACCAGGAAGAAATATAAAATATAACAGGCTGATTACTGGCAATGAAATTGAAGTAGTCATAAAAAAACTTCCAACAAACAAAAGCCCAGGTGAATTCTACCAAACATTTGAAGAATAATTAATACCTATCCTTCTCAAACTATTCAAAGACATTAAAGAGGAAGGGCAGCTTTTACCATGATACCAAAACCAGACAAAGATACGAACAAAAAGAGAATTACAGGTGAATAACCATGATGAACATAGATGCAAAAATTCTCAATAAAATACTAGTAAACCAAATTCAATAATACATTAAAAGGACTATGCACCATGATCAAGTGGAATTTATACCAGGGAATGAAAGGATGGTTCAATATCCTCCAAACAATTAAATAAAAATTATATGATCATCTCGGATGCAGAAAAGGCATGTGACAAAACTCAACATCATTTATGATAAATACTCTCAACAAAGTGGGTGTAAAAGGAACTTACCTCAACATGATAAAGGCTATATATGTTAAGCCCACAGCTAAAAAAGTGTTTCCTCTAAGATCAGAAACAGATAAGGATACTCACTCTCACCACTATTATTCAATATAGTACTAAAAGTCCTAGCCACAGTCATCAGACAAGGTAAAGAAATAAAAGGCATCCAAATTGCAAATGAAGAGGTAAAACTGTCACTATTTTCAGATGACATGATATTCTATACAGAAAACCATACAGAATCCACCAAAAAATTAATAGAATAAATGAATTGAGTATAGTAGCAGTATACAAAATTAATTTACACAAATCAGTTGTGTTTCTATATACTAATAACCATCAGAAGGAAAAATAAAATCCTATGTATAGTTGTAAAAAAAAAAGAAAATACATGAATAAATTTAACTGAGCAATCTACAGATTCAATGCAATTTCTATCAAAATACCAATGACATTCTTCTCAGAACTAGAATAATACTAAAATTTATATGGAATCACACACACAAAAAAAACATAGCCAAAGCAATCTTGAGAAAGAGGGACAGTTGGAGATATCACACACCCTGATGTCAAACTACTATCCTATATAATAAAAAGCTAATATGCAAATTGTCCCCTCGACTGTGAGTTTTTCCAGGGGGCAGGGCCGGCCGGCCAACCACCTGTGGCCCCTCCCCCTGGCCGGCCCGGCCCAATGAATTCATGCACCAGGCCTCTAGTAAACTTATAATCATCAAAATAGTATGGCACAAAACCCAACACACAGATGAATGGGACAAAAAAGAGAGCCCATAAATAAACTCTCACTTATATGGTCAATCCACAAGAAAAAAAGGAAGAATCTACAGTAGAGAAATGATAGTCTTGTCAACAAGGTTGTTGGGAATACTAGACTACTCTCTTACACCATATACAAAATTAAAACTCAAAATGGATTAAGGGCTTAAATGTAAGACCTAAAACCATAAAACTCCCAGAAGAAACCATAGGTAGCAAACTATTTGATACCAGTTTTAGTAATATATTTCTGGATATGTCTCCTTAAGCAAGGTAAACAAAAGTAAAACAAATGGTACTTCATCAAACTAAAAAGCTTCTGCACAGCAAAGGAAACTAACAAAATAAAAAGACAACTTACTGAATGGGAGAATACATTTGAAAATGATATAAAGGATAAGAGGTTGATATATCCAAAATATATAAGGAACTCACACAACTCAATAAAAATATGAATAATCCAATAAAAAAATAGAGAATATAAAGAGACATTTCTCCAAAGAAGACATACAGATAGCCAGCAGACATATGAAAAGGTACTCAATGTCACTAATCATCAGAGAAATTCAAATGAAAAACACAATGAGATACCACTTCACACCAGTCAGAATGGGTATTATCATAAAGTCAACAAATAAGTGTTGGTGAGAATGTGGAGAAAAAAGAACTCTTGTGCACCATTGGTGAGTCTGGAAATTAGAGCAGCCACTATGGAAAACAATATGGAGATTCCTCAAAAAACTAAAATAGAACTACCACCAGACATCCCAGCAATTCCATATTGGAGTATTATTTTTTAAAAATGAAATCACTAATTAGAAAAGATACAGGCTCTCCTATATTCACTGCAGCATTATTTACAATAGATGATATATGGAAGCAACCGAGGTGTCCATTGACAGATAAACGGATAATGAAGATGTGGTATATATATACAATGGAATAGTACCCATCAATAAAAAAGAATGGAATCCTGTTACTTGCAACAACATGGATGGACCTAGAGGGTATTATGCTAAGTGAAGTAAGTCAGAAAGAGAAAGACAAATACCACATAATTTCACTTATATGTGGAATTTTTTAAAAACAAAAATAGATTAAAAGACACAAAGAACAAACTGATGGTTGTCAGGGGTGGGGGCTGTAGAGGTGGGTGAAAAAGGTGAGGGGGAATATAGTCAATAATTGATAAATTTGCATGGTGACAGATGGTTACTAACAGGGTGGCACATCATAAGATAAATAAATGTAGAATCACTATGCTGTACACCTGAAACTAATATTGTATGCCAATAATAATAATAATAAATGATTGCTTTGAAAATAAGTTTTATCTACTTTAACCAGCTCTCATTTTCCTTCAAACAAAATGTAATACATCCAATTCTTTACATCTAGGCATAAGCTCAACCCCAAACTGCTCAATGCAATTTACCGCATTGCCCAAAATTTTAAGCTCTATCACCCTCTAACCTTGAATGACCAACATGGTTACAAATGTTTTCCACAGAATTTCCAAAGCTGCTTGTTCCCCCAGAACACGAGTAGCCTGGTCCTTGGTATCATTCTAGGCAATCCCATTAATTAGTTTGGTGTTAGTTATCCTTCTATTTGTAGTTATAATAATAATAGTGACGATAATAACTTCTAGCTATTTTGTTAATATTTTTAAACTCTACAAAAATGCTGCAGTTGAGGAAAGGGGAGCTCAAAGATGGTCTGCAACTTCCCTAAAGACACCAGCAAGGAAGTGGTAGGCCTGAGTTTGAACCATCAGGTTAGTGTGACTCCACAACTCACACTCTCCATTATACCAAACGCCCTGTCATAAGTCTCCCTTATGAATACTTGTAAAAGCATTTTCCAATGCAAAATCTTGATAACACATTATGTACACTCAAATAATAAGTAAAATAACCCACTGAAATTATTAAAGATCAAAACAAAGCCCATTCCCATAAATATTCATGGAGAGTTTAACTGTTCAATATGTAAAAGTTAGCAGGAAAAAAACATGAGGAAAACTAGAACCATAGTAAAATGTCTATCAACAATATAAGGGATCCCTTATGCATTTTATTTAAATACTAGAGGCCTGTTGCACGAAGAGATTCGTGCAATAGGCCTTCCCTTCCCTGGTTGCCGGCACCGGTTTTCCTCCGGCACCCGGGACCCAGGCCTTCGCTCAGGCTGGAGCCGCCTTCCGTCCTCTGTCTTCGCGGCCCCGGCCGGAGCCACCTTCCATCTTCCCTCTTTGCGGCCCCGCCCCTTGGAGCCTACATATGCAAATTAACCGCCATCTTTGTTGGCAGTTAATTTGGATATCACGCTGATTAGCCAATGGGAGGCATAGCGAAGGTACGGTCAATTACCCTGTTTATCTATTATTAGATAGGATACTTATATTTTAATCATCACTGATGTCATTTTCAAAATAATACTGTGATTAGTTCTTCTAAGTATGATAGTATCTGGTTGTGTTTTTTCTTATGTAGAATAATAAAATTTTAAACCAACAAGTATCCCAGCTAGGTGAATAAAATTGTTCAAAAATATTTAAAAGTATAAAGTTGCTTCAGCATATGAAATTCAACAATGAAAAATTGTTATGATATAAATATGTAGTGATACTTACAAGTAATACTAACCAAGATGGATCTTATCACAAATTCACAGATTTGCTTCCACTTAGCCTGAAATTTGGATGTGATCACAGGGATAATGATCTCTGCTGGAACGTAGAACTGAATGGAATATGTCACAAAGATGCCAAAGGAATATAGAATTTTCACTGACTGATATAACCTGTTAAAAAAAATTCAAAATTCAGTCATTCTTTCCCCCCCCCCCAGCTTTATTGAGGTACAACCTAAAAAATAAAACTGTAATACATTTAAAATTTACGTGATAATTTGAGATGCATATACATTGTGAAAAGATACCCACAAGCAAGTTAATTAACAGACCCATCACCTCCCTTATTTACTTTATTTATTTATTTAGAACACTTCGGTTCTACTCCCTTGGCAAATTTCAATCATACAATTCAGTATTATCAACTATAGTCACTACATTATACAATACATCCTCAGACCTTATTCATCTTAAAACTAAAAGTTTGTACCCTTTTACTGAGCTTTCTTCTTTCCACCAGCCCCTGGGAACCAATCTACTCTCATATGAATTGGACATTTTTTTAGACTAAACATATAAATGATGCCATGCAGTATTTGTCTTTGTCTAGCTTATTTCACTTAGCAAAATGAACTTCGAGGTTCATTCACATTGTTATCTTAGTATGAATCTAGCTTTCTTCCTTTTATTTTTAATGTTAAGATAGACAAGAAATCCAACACAAACTAAAGCCAGTATATTACTAATTAAATACTTGCTTATTATTTAAAAAAAATAAAGGCCCACTGACCCTGGCCAATGTAGCTCAGTTGGTTGGAGTATCGTCCCATTTACCAAAAGGTTGTGGGTTAGATTCCCAGTTGGAGTGCATATGGGAGGCAACTAATCAATGTTTCTCTCTCAAATCGATCTTTCTCTTTCTCTCTCCCTCCCTCCCTCCCTCTAAAATAAATAATATATCCTAGGATGAGGATTAAAAAAAAGGCCAGCTGATCTCTAAATTTCTAGACAATAGGTGGACAATTCATTCTGACAAGCCTACGAAACAGTGGCATGCGAAGATCTGTGAAATACTGTTGTAAAGATGTCATGTTAGGCTAAGCCAATGTTCTGAATGTTAGGCTGAGCCCCAGGAAGAGCTAATGTTTTTAGAACTTTCTTTTTAAAAATTGACCATATTGTATGCCTTTGAGATCTCAGATATTTATGTATAGAAGAAAAACTTCAGATTGAACTGAGTTATACAGTTCTCCTTGCTTGAAAATCTTGGTAGGTATGTCATTGGTTGCAGAAATGTCATCATTCTTAAGTCTAAAAAGGCCATCTAAATGGTTTCAACTTGCAAACTTGTCCAGATTATATAGGAGTTTTACCTATTTTAAAGTTGCATTAATAAGGAAAATAAACTTGAGTTGGTTATTGTTTTGTCCAAATAAACTTATTTTTTTATGCCCAGTGCTTCAAAAGAGCACAGCAATGTTCAGTTTTATAAACATCTTTAGATTTCTATATTGTAGATAGCCTCCTGTCAAAACTCAGCATGCATTGTCTTAATAAATTAGAAAAATTCATTTTATCTGGCAAGAGATTATTTTAAATGTTGTTAATGACAGAGAATATATAGAATTGTAGGACTCAGAGGATCACTGTAGAACCTACTCCCTTGGGTTATAAGGAATAAAATTATGTGTTGTATTTTTTGAAATTCTGAATATTTTATAACAATCAAAAGAAAAACCCAATTGCTCTTATTTTGTAAGAAAGAACTTGGAGAGGAGACTGGATCGAATGAGCGGCAGCACTAGGGGTAATGACTGACGTTTGTCCCCTTTAAGCAGAAATGTCATTAACACCACAATCTTCCCTTAAGACGTCCACTTTCCCCCCTAAGAGGCCTATGCATAGGGAAGAGTACTATATTTCTTTCTTAGGAAAAATGCATTCATTTTAAAGGAATATAAAATATTCCACTTTTGGTGAAGAAAGCCTCAACATTAATTAGGCTTTCAGCTTATTTCTGACGTCTTAAGACTCAGAGCAGTCAAGATTATAAACAGTTCTCTCAACTGTGGCCAATCAAGAAAGACTTCAGTAAGTCTCCCCCTAGAACGTATTCATCAAGAGGAAGGAAAAAAGCTGAGCAGAAATAGATGTGAAAACACTGCAAACAGCACAGTTGAGGAAAGAAGGAACTCCTTAAGGCTGGTAACAATAAATCCTTAACTTTAAAATGATCTCAGGATATATTTCTCAGCTTGAGGTTTAAAGTTTACACACAAAATGGTCAAATTAGTTAAATAAAATAAATGAAAGATGCCTGCTTCATATGCTCTGAAATGTAATTGTGAGAATTGAATGTTCTTATTAGCTTATTAGGACATTCCTTTTTTTCTAATTATCTTTTAACTTACATGTTTTTAAAATATGGTTAACAATATATTTTAAAATACATCATTATGCATATGAGTATAATTGCTTTTCTACTGATATATAATAAGTTGTACAGGCTAAGAATCTGATTATGAATACCATTTAGTAATATTAATTTTATGCAACTACTATAATTTTGGTGTTGTACAGAATAAAAATGGGAAAATAAAATGGTTTGGCTCTTTTGAAAGTGGGTGTACTAGTACATCATCATCCAAAGAACAGTAACATAGAAATAAGAGTGTTTAAGAAAAACACTTCAGTCTTTTAGAATCAACTGTTCCACTTCTGCTTGTTTTCTGTTTCAAGAACCCATTAATTTTTATGTTTGACATCTATATTTTCAATCACTTTTAACTATTTTTCTCTACTCAAATTTTGTTCTCATTTTGGTGTTAAGTGAGCATCTATGGTAAGGGTCCATATGAGAATATATCCATTAAACTATCTAGACAAAGGATAAAAAATGTTCTTGAAATCAAGAATTTGAGGACATATAAGAACATCAAACCACTTGTAAATAATGTGTAGTGTACATTAAACGTTCTTGAAAGTTAGAGACTATGTTTTATTCTTCTCTGTATACCCCCCCAAGGATACTTATTAAATATGAAATTAATATTAATAAAAAATGGGTATAAACAGGTAGTTTTTAGAAACTATATCCATTCAATATCACAAATAAAATACTTCAAAGAATAAAATGGCTTTGGCCAGTGTGGGTCAGTTGGTTGGGCATCGTCCTGTGCAACGAAAGGTTGCTGGTTTGATTCCTGGTTAGGGCACATGCCCAGTTTGCGGGCTTGATCCCCAGTAGAGGGGGTGTGCAGGAGACAGCCAGTCGATGTTTCCCTCTCACACTGATGTTTCTCTCTGTTTCCCTCTCTCTCCCTCTCTTTTCTTCACTCTCTGAAAATCAATAAAAAATATTTTAAAAAATAAATAAAATGATTCTTGCTTGAAAACAAAATGTTATGCTGGCAGCAAAAAGACTTCATATCCAAATAAAGAGCAGAAATCTATTTTTTAAATAATTGTTTTTCAGTCAATATATGAAATCAGATTTTGGGGTGGGGGAACAACTAAATATTGTCCAGTAAAAGCATTAGTTTTGAAAACACAAGATTTCAAAACTGACAATGCTTCTATTCTTTCCCCACACTGGTTAAAAAAATCAATACTTAGTCTTAATTTACAGGTATGAATATATTAAAAAATTTTAAAGCTAATCTAGGAAATAAGTTGTTGACTGATTCTTTCTCTCAAGGCTGCATAAGAAGCTACCCCTGGAAAGAGTTGATAACTCACTGTCCCTCATAGACCCTTCATGATACACAGATTAAAAATCTTGGGTTTACCGGTAGCTCTGTTAAGCAGAAAAGAAGCCTTTATGAGGACTAGCTTCAATCCTTATCAAGAACCTCATTTCATTCTCAGCTAAAAAATAAGACAACTAGGGTTATCTAGTATTCATCACTAGATTGAATGCTTTGAACCACTAAACTTTTATAGCATATTCACTAGAATGTAGCATTATGAGGAAGAGATTTTTATCTGTTCACCACTGTGTCTCTAGTGCCTGTAACAGTACCCAGTACACAAAAGGCATACAATAAATATAGGAGTAGTAGGCCAAAGTAGGCTTACAGTTAATACAATAGTTATAGTATCATAAATACAAAAATACACTGTTTCATGTACTCACAACTGTAAGCCTACTTTTGCCAATCCCTGTATCTGCTAGATAAATGAATTTGGTAGATACCCTTCATTTTGAATTTAATATCCTATATAATAAAAGCCTAATATGCTAAGTGTCTGGTCGTTCAGTCGTCCATTTAACCAATCAAAGAGTAATATGCTAATGATATGCTAAGGTTGCTCAACCGCTCACTATTGACGTGCACTGACCACCAGGGGGCAGACAGTCGACCGGTCAACCAGTCACTATGACATGCACTGACCACCAGGGGGCAGACACTCTGACCGGTAGGTTAGCTTGCTGCTGGGGGACTGAGTGAGATGGGCCAGACACCACGCCCAGGAGCCTCCCGCAGTCCCTCCCCGGCTGGCCAACCTCCCGCATCCCTCCCCAGCCCCGATCATGCACCGGTGAGGTCCCTTGGCCTGGCCTGTGCACTCTCGCAATCTGGGACCCTCAGGGGATGTAGGAGAGCCGTTTCAGCCCAATCCCACAGGCCAGGCCAAGGGACCCCACTGGTGCATGAATTTGTGCACTGGGCCTCTAGTAGTTAATAATAGTCATTCCAATGAGGAAAGGCAGAGGCAGTTTGGGCCAGGGTTCTTAATTACAGGCAACCTTAATACTGGAGGAAGGTTATTAAGAATTTGTGAAGGAGGGGACAGAAGGAATAGTCCAGAATATATGAATCTTCTTTTTCCAGTTTCCTTAAATTTATTTCTCTATTTATTGTGCCTCTTGCTGAGTCCATGCCTGCCTAAAAATTTTTATGTTAGGTAATAAACTCCTCAGAGTTCAACTCCTTGATTGCCTGGATCAATTAAGACATAACTTGATTACCTGCCACTACCCATCAGCTTTATTTCCCAGAATATTCAGGCTTCTGGCTCCTGTATGCTATAACATGGGCTTAGACTTTGGGTTTGTTCTGTTTTTTGGGGGGAAATGAAGTAACAGTTTAATTATCTTAATAAATTAAAATGCCTGCCTCATCACTTCCCTATTTTTGGATTGAATTTTCCTATCCAGTACATGCTTC